AGATGATATGGAAGGTCTCGACAATACGCATCTGTCCGTGTGCTCTTTAAAATTTGTGGGATAATCCTAATAATAATAACTTTATTGCCCAACAGTGTATAAACCAATTATGGACAAATACAAAATACAACAAGTAAGTTAGACTTAAATAGCATAGACTTACAATTGAATAATTGAATAAGTGACGTAATTACACGTACGTAATCATTATTCATGCTTAACATATCGGGAAACATCGGACTACCCGATCCCGAACGAGCAGCGTGATAATTTCGCATAACCTATTATATTGCTGTCTGTCTGTCCGTGTGCACGATAACGTTGTGTAGAAACGCCCGATCGGTTTGAAAATTGATACACATGTTCTTCAGGATATAAGGAAGGTCGCTATTTCGGTTACGTAGACTTTTTTTTTGTTCAGATATTTAAATGAATTTTGTATGTAGACACCTCCAATAAAAGTAAAACTGATGGCGATCAAAAAATTTGTTTTACGCATGCGCAATCCGATTTTTTTTAACATATTCGTTATGAACCGAATAGCATGAAATTTTGTATTTAGGCGCACCTCGAATAAAAGTAAAACTAATTCCGAATCAAAAAATTTATTTTGCGCATGCGCAATTTCAAATTTTTTATTTGTTCAGATATTTAAATGCAATTTTGTATATATGAACCTCGAATAAAAGTAGAACTAATGCCGATTCAAAAATTTGTTTTATAAGCTATGCTGATCTGGTCGGATAAAATTAATCCGTTGAGGTGTGTTGTAAAAATGATGTATTTTTTGAATCGATATGGCATAATTTCAGCTCCTGTTTTTAAATTACAAAAGAGAGCCATTCGTAATATTTTCAAGTTACCTTAAATCACCTCTGCAAGTCATTTTATTTTTTGGTTTTTGATATAGGTACCATCAATTTAGATATGTTCAATCGTCTGAATGTAAACCATCAGTATAACACACGGTATGGTAATAAATCATTCTCGATATGAAAAACATCTGGAAAAGTTAAAAAAAACCATGTACAGGGTGCTCCATTTTCGAAATTTCCCAATCTGTTGGTGCTATCAAAATAAGTAATATAGGCGTTATGGGTGTTTTTGGGTGACAACTTAAAATGGTAAAATCAAAATTTGAAAATATTCGCTCGTTTCCGAGGGGGAAAATAAAAAAATTGGCTATTTCAGAATGATCCTATATTTTCTTAGTTACTTAAAGAGATCCAGAAAAATGTTTATTACACAAGTTTTTTTTAAATCATTTTTGAATAATTGGACGTTTTCAAAATAAGTAAGTCTGATAAAAAGTTATCGGACCTAACCTTTTTTTTAATGCAACACTAATATAGTTTAATTGAAAAATATGCAATATACACTAACAGTGCAAACAAAGTCAAAAATGTTAAAATTTTTTTAAAAATTTAAAAACACTTATTTTGTATTTTTTTAAAATTATTTAACCGTTTTTTGATTTTTTTAAATTCTTTTTAGTGTTTTTGAACATTTTCCATTTTTCTAAATCATTTGAATCTTTTTAAATGTCGTCCCTGGTTCTTGAAAGGAGTATTTAATGCTATTTTTTAGATTAAAATATACAAGGTGTTCCTCGAGGTGTTCCATAGAAAAAATTAGATTAGGTTGGATAACACTTTTACCAGGCCCCGTATATTTATTTTGACGGCAGATTATTCAAAAACCATTATAAAGAAACTTTTGTATAAAACATTTTTCTATATCTCTTTTAACTAAGAAAATATAGTCATTATACAATTTTTTTAATTTCCCCCGTATCTCTTAAGAGAAAATTATCAAATTTTGAATTTACCATTTTAACCTCGATTTTAACTTTGCCGCAAAAAGAGCACATGGCGCAGATGACGCCTATACGCATTACTTTTTTTATAGGACTAACAATTACGGTAGATACCTACCCTATGAAAGTGTCCAAAATGAGACTTCCTGATAAATAAGAACGTTGGCGCTGCACATGTCTGTTTTTGAGTTTCAACACGCGTGCTATCTTTTTACAGAAATATCTCCATAAATTAGAAAATTAGAATTCGTACTTGATTTTCACGTATGCGATATGTTTGGCCATATAATATAGAAGCATCTATGGCTAAAATTTACACAAAATCTTTCCACAAACAAGCTCTATAGTCTTTTCCTAAAAAAAATTCGGTGGTATTTTGGCCTTTGCCGGGAGTTGCCAGGATTATGCTATATGCTACCAACTACAAAAAGAACGAACTAACTACGTACATACTTTAAAACCTGTAGGAATAAGTTAAGGCCTCGGGACGGTCAGACCGACGGAAAAGTTTTCTATGAGGCTTAGATATCTAACCCTCGAAGATCCAAACGGTATTTATTACATACGATAAAATAGCTCATATTTAGCAATAGCGCAGGTTCTGAATTAAACTGAGATGTGAACATTCCTTAACACAGATGACCAGATCTATTAATATTTATTGGAAAAGAGCAAAAAGTCCAATTGGCTAGCTAGACAAAAGACAGCGAAAGAAACCCGCGATATTACCTGATAGTTTCTAATAGGTGTTCCGACCGAAACGCAGTATGGCGCCCAATTTTAAATGTCCTGTAATGGAATCAACTACTTAGGCTATTAAACTGATCTACCGTAAGCTCTCGAAGAAATAATGTCCACGCAAACCTGCACAAAGCGTGATAAGAAGACATAGTGGTCATTCGCAATTGCCGATTTTTCATATATTCACGTTTACCGCCAGTGCACTGGCAGAAATCCTGCCATCGTAGATATTAATTAAGGTCAAGGCCAACTCACTCATATCTATACGCATAATGCATCGAAGTACAGAGGGCAACTCCTTCAATTAATTTGAAAAGAAGAAGTAGGTGCTCTTTGAACTAAAAATGTTAAAATAATTATTGCTTTGGAACTCGACTTGCATTACGTCATTTAAGCAACCAAATTTGAGGATGAGAATTTGCGTTTGTACGATTAGAAATGAATTAAAAATTCAAGGACGCATATTTTGTGATTGCGATCGTCCATACTCTATTAAACGGGTAAAATTACGGTACGAACGGATGGAAACTTGATAAACAAAATAAGAAAAACGAGGGCGGATAGCACAAAAAGTATGAAAATACCTCACCTACCGTTTGTGATAGAAAGTTCGTTACCGTTCGTATTTATGTTAGATTACACAATAATAGTTTATGACATTAATGTAGTTTCCAGTATAATTCATAGGTAAAATAAATAAGCAGTTAATGAGGAGGTAATGCACACTGACAAATAGAATAGGTATAATGTGTTTATATTGAATCGGTGTCATTAGTACAAGAGATAATTACAAATTAATCAGATGTATTATAAAGTTTCTGAGAATAACAAATTCCCATAGGCAACATGAGCAACAATACGAAAATTATTGCTAAATGAGTAACAAAAAGAGCAACTTAAATTATGTTCATTTTATGTTACAAAGAATATTGATTCAAATAGGAAATGTTCACAATAATTTACTTCAATGAGGTGATTAGGTAGGCAACTAGATGCGCAGACTTATCTTTGTTCGGGTACAACGCCCTTGCAGGAATCACTTTTGATTTGCCCGAAAGTAAAAATATATAGATCTGAAATAAGATGACCAATTTTGGTGTCTTGGATTACGCAACTACAACGCATTCAAATATAGACCAACGAGTCGGGTCGTTCAAATACACTCTCAATTTCGAAAGCAAAACATTAAATTACAACAAAATGAGTATTTGGTATTGACACTATAGAAAAGATGGTGGTATTATTTTTAAATCGGGTATCGTTTGGTACACGGAAATTATGTTGAAAATGAAAAAAAGTTCACGTAAATATAAAAATAAATGATTCGAAACTATATGATAGAGTAGATATGATCAAAATACTTCATGGACAAAGGCAATGTTAAAACGCGGTGTTGTATGTTTGTATAACAACATGGCCGACTAAGGTATTTGCTTCGTTATTGACGATAGAATACGCCGTCCGCCCCCGTTCAACGACACAAAATAGAACAATCCTCACACAATGAACCCATCGAGTAGATACGTTAATTCTCCAAAATATAGTTACTTTAAATCGCTTTTCCATCATTTCAATGATATTAGTAATGTTCTAGCTAGGTCAAGTAACGTTCTAAAAATATCATGCAGTGAACTGCTCGAACCATCCGCCATTACATGATTTAGACTTGTTTACTCTTACAACAGATTAGCGTTTTCTATGCTATTGTAACAAATTTGATTAACGCCACGTATGGATATTGTCAAATAATTTCTTCCGGCAGCTATTTAACAAATTTTGTTATTGTTTAAATCGAAAAATGACTATTAATATTTCAGTTAGCAAAAATGTTCCTTTTTTGACCTAATGCGACTCTACCCCAAGTACAATCAGTGCAAAAAATGCTGTTATCAGTTGACAACTATGTTAAATATATCGCGAATAAGTATATTGAAAACAATACCATCTCTGATACCTGCCTACAATGTGATAATATTAACAATGAAATGCAACATATCAAATGCCAATGGCAATGCAATAGAAAACATATCAATTGAATACAACCAATTTTTGATTGTATACACTAGTAATGAAACATGGTAAAATAAAAATGAAGAACATGCAAAATGTAGCAAACCAATTATTGACATGTTGCTAGTGGTATACCTAGATAGTTGAATCTTTCGCACAAATTAAAGCCTTGTGACACAAGCAGCTTCGTACAGAAAATCACTCGAAAGCTGGTCTAATAGCGTAAAGTGATATACTAGAAAATACAGCCAAAACCTTTAAAAGGAACACTGTAATGTAAAGCTTCACACGAAAGGAGGCATCATAGTAAAAAGCAAGCCCGGTATCGAAAACCCTACAAAACAAACGTTACACAAATAATACACAAGTTAAGAATTAATTCATGGATACGCTTATGCATTAATGCAATCTAATTTTTATTGTTTTAACTCACCATTTCAGGAATAACGTATATTAGTTGGTCTTTAAGGTTAGGTGAATTGGACTCCCAAAGTGGATCCACACAGTCAAGATTCACAAACTTAAAATCACCTCTAGACATTTGCAAACAAGTCCTACACATTCTCGGTTTATGATACATGTTGTTTTAGTTAATTATTTTCGTCATAACAATAAAAATATTTGCAGTTCAGTACGACCGACGTTACATTTGATAGACTGCATTGCACTCGTTTAGCTTACGTTTGCCGCTTACCGATACTGCCGAACTAAACAAAAGCTTGCCCACTACTGGATAAACTGAAACTGCATTCAGCGGGAAATTTTGAATATGTTGTTGTTTTCTCGCTACGTTTTTTTTTTGCTAAATGATATCGTAATGTTATTATCGAATGTCTGATTCAGTGAATAGTGCAGTTAAATTTAGCGGCGATATTTATAAATTGTAGTATGTATCACGAATTGAAAACCAATTATTGTGCAAAGAAATAGATAGGTATAGGGCCGTATAGGTATATTCCGAGGTATATTCATTGAATAAAGACTTTATTCAACGATATATTTAAAAAAATCGTCTTCCAAACGTTTGAATTTCAAGAGAAATGAGTAACATGTATTATTATTATCATTAATTAGGTGTTATAACCACTTGGCCCTCCATAGGTACCTATTTCGTTTTGTTGGATGGATACTTGCATTTTAGTATTTATTTATTTTACATATGAGCAAAGAATAACTAATAATTAGGTACTAAGTGTAAGTATTTGAAGCTAAAAATTAAAATAGATAGATCAGTTTAACTTTTGTATAAAGTGCATAAATTATTATTGAAAGGGTTCAAGGACGTGTACTGGCATTGCATTTACGAACATATTCGATTTTTATAGGTAGGTACGTAAAGTAGTACATAATGCGGCCTCTCTTTTTTAAGATCATTTTCACCTAGTAGGTAGTGAAGTTATATTTGATCATTCATAGACCATTGCTTATGCCCTGATCTTTTAATCCCGCCATTGTGTTCCAAAAGTATACTTATCGTTATCTAAATGATCTTTTACTTTTAGTATCAATTCCAGAGTTCGGCTTTCTCTATAGTCTATGCTTCCGTTTGCAAACTAAAAGAGGGCGTTGCCGCCTGTGGGGTCGTAGGGGTCTGTTCTCCAAGAGTGAAAACGTTTGTAAGCGAAAGATACCGTTTGGAAATTATATACCTACCCCAATTTGTACATATTCTGCGCACACTTTTATTGGCACTAAGTGGATTGGTTAGTGCTATGTTTGTGTTTGTGCCGTGTTCGCCAGAAAAATATACCGTTTTATCCCGATTTTTAGATGTTCTGCCAACTTTGCACACTTTGATTAGTACAAATCTTGAGATTAGGTGGTGGTTTGTGCCATAAAATGTTTACTAGCAAAACATACCGTTTGGAGGTTACCTCGATAGTCGATTTTTAGATCTTTACCCCGGCGTTAGTCGTCTCAAATATCTTGACGTACACTGATTAGTTGGGAGCTCGGTTGGGAGATATGCTGATTTATGTGTTACACCGGTTACACATAACACATAATTTTTCTGAGAAAAATCTTTAGAACACAACGACTACCAGAACCAAATTTTAGAGGAACAATATAATAGAGAGAGAAAGAGAGAGGGGGGAGGGAGAGGAAGTGAGAGAGAGAGTGAGCGAGAGGGAGAGGGAGAAAGAACCGAAAAATACCGGGTTCTTTGGCACAAATAATAATGGTACCGGCGAGGGTACCGGTATCGGTTCCGGTTATCATAACGTGTTCAATAACGGTTCTGGTTCCAAGCGATGGGTGTATAAATTAAATGTATTCGGTTCCAGTTTCGGTACCGGTTCTATTCCCTGAACCCGTATGAAATATTGGTTCCACGTTCATTCTACTTATATGTAGAATTATTTTCGGTTCCGGTCCCAGTTCTTTTGGTTTCGCGTAGAATAATGAAGCAAAATTTATTAGCAGCTATTTTTGGAGGAGCAGATGACGGTGAAGTTGAGTAGGTAGATTATTTTGGACAATGCTTTAGTATAGATAGGGACAACATGATGTAGACAAGAGAATAATATTTTCATTAAATAGCATAACCAATGACGTCCAATTTTCGTTTTGAAATAGATGATATTCCTAAACTTGTTGAACATTAATTTTATCTCTCATTGTAGGCCTCAACGAAAGGTACCATTTTCTACCAACTACTGCCCTTCTTTTTGTCCTCTTATCAAAGTACGGTGAGGAGGTGGAAAGAGGGGGGAGGAGTGGAACTAGTTTTATCCTTCATGGTACTCTAATGAAAGGTCTCAACGAAAGGAATTCATTACTACCAACCACAGCCCTCCTCCTCGACCTCTTATCGTGATAGGATATATTCCCTTAAGAATACACCCTCAAGAACGGATTGTCGGAAGAGGGTACTCACAAAGGGTGATTGAGACGTCTGCAAGAAATATAATATCCATTGGTGATGTCAAAACAAAAGCTATTTCGGTAAAAAAAATGCGCGTTATTTGCACAAGAGTTGTGCACAATTTATACTTGTTTTGCATGTCATGGAGGAATATCCGATGGTTAAGAATCCAAGTTTTCGACTTCCCATCCCGTGTGCTTCCCCCGTACCACCCCTAAAAGTTATAAACAAAGAAATTCGGTTGGTTGTTTAGTTTTTCAATCATATCTTTTTATAGGTTCACTTTACAAAAAAATGTTATTATCAGAAATTTTACACAAATTTGTTAGGTATATACTTCTTTTTCGTAAATTTTTATTTCAAAAGATACAGATCTTCAAAGTTGTCTTCATTTTGAAGATCGGAAATTGCTATGTATGTACATATTTTAACTTAATTGTATGTTATCTCTATAATCATAAGATTCTTATGAAAAGATACCTCGATTATATAAAGTATGGTGCTATTGATTTCCGTACCCTGCGCCCCTATCAAAGGGAACGATAGCTCTTCAACTCCTTGGTCGTAGTAGGTATTTGAATGTGAATCACTGTTATGGAGCTTTCAAATACAATTATCAAATAAGAAAAGTGGGCTTACTACATTTTAACCGATTCCATCCCCTACAAAAAGGGATGATTATTTCAACCCCCTATAGTAGAGATTGTTCAACTATCTAATATTATATCGCTTTCGAACATAATTTACAAATCATTATTTTATATGAACATGAAGGTGTAAGTAAATGTTTTTAGCGCCTTTTTGAAAAAAAGTAGCGCGTATACGAGGGTTGTCCAGAAAGTAGCAGACGTTTTAATTATATTGTATACATTTGAGGGCTACACTCTTGGGCTATTTATCAACACAAGCGCCATTCAAATTGAGGCACTTATCATAGCGTGGCGCAAGTGTTTTGATTCCAACTTTTACAAATCCGCCGCCTGAGACTTTAACCACTGGTTATCGCCGGCTTGAAGGTCGGCATCACTATCCATGTGCTGTGTTGCGAGCGAGGTCTTTATCGGTGGGAAGAGGTGAAAGTCGCTTGGCGCGAGATCCGAGCTGTATGGAGAGTGATCCTTTCTCCCATCCAAAATCATCCAAGAGATGTTTAGTACGGTTGACTGTGTACGGGCGGGCGTTGTCGTCGAACAACAAAACTTCCACCTCTTCCCAGCGATGAAGACCTGGCTCGCAACGCAGCGGTTCGATAGGGACGCCGAACTTCATATCAGCGTTACCCAGTGCAGGGTGCAGCCGGCGGATTTATAAAACTTGGAATCAAAACACTTGGGCCACGCTATGATAAGTGCCTCAATTTGAATAGCGCTTGTGTTGATAAATAGCCTCCAAGTGTATACAATAATAGATTTTCTTTACAAGTTTAAGTTTTTTTTATTTCAAAACGTCTGCTACTTTCTGGACAACCCTCGTATATTCACGTTGGCTGTTCGGTCGGTCGCAAAGTTTTTTTAAGTACATACCTATAACTGTAAGGTGGCTTAACTAGTTCCGAACTAGTTAAGCCACAGTTCGACGCATTCAGTATTTTCCAACTTGTTTATTTGAAATTTGTATTCGGAAATGTCATTATCTAAGTGTGATCGAGCTATCAACAGCAGATTAAACCACTCATTTCAGTAGGGAGTGGATAAACTAGAACGAAAGGATTAGAAATAAGAAAATATATGTAACCTAAGCGACCTAACCTGACTAACTTATCAATGGCCACAAGGGGGTTGAAATATTCGTTCCTTATAGGATGGGATGAACCTGAACTGAAGTGAGACAATTCTTTTTATTTCAAACGTATATTAGAAAGCGCTACAATCTCATACAGTGATTCAAATATCCCTACTAGCAAGGGTTGAAAGTTGAATGATTATGCATCCCCTTTGGTAAGGGTGCAGGGTAGGGGGATTTATACCACGATAAATTCAAGATATTTTCTCATAAAACTCTTAAATAATTATAGATATAAAGTAGACAATTTGGTTAAAATATCCACATAGAAACCCCAGAATTCTTAAAAACATATAAGCAAATTTGAAGCCCTATATCTTTTTTAATAAACATTTCACAAAAAAATAGTGTATATCAAAGTTGTATAGAATTTTATGGTCTAAAATTTCTGATAACATATAATATAATTTAATTTTTTCCTAAAGTGAACCATTAAAAAGATATGATTGAAAAACCAAGAAACCAACCAAATTTCAGTGGTTTTGGGGGTGGTACGGGGGAAGCACAAGAGGTGGGAGGTCGAAAACTTAGATTCTTAACCACCAGATGACTGTCTATGACATGCCAAAGAAATTGGAACTAGGTACTTCTTATTTTGCAAATAAACCCTCTATTCCCTGGACCATAGACCAAACCATAGTGTAAGAATAGAATACTATATGACCAAACCTGGAATAAATATAGTATTGTACGCATCCCTGGAATGGCCTTGTTGTGTGCGTAATATATTTTTTGCGCGATCGGTCATTTCTGACTATTTACCATGGGTGTTTCCATGACAGTACGTAGAATTTACCAGTTGCTATGATTACGACGACGCCAAAATTACTTACCGATCTAAAAACAGAACAGCAAAAATACTTACCGACGCCTTTTAAAAAATCAACAGTCTTACATTACATTTAATCTTTAATTATTGTTAGGTACATTAATCGTACAATTTGTGCTGTTGTTTCCTATAGCAAGACGCTCATAAAGTCATAAAGGATGTGCAAAGCTAGTAAACTACATCAGACACATGCACATTTTTATGGAATTATTAATTTCAATTTTGACATTTAAACT